AAATTTAAAAATTTTAGTAAAAAATAATCACAAGGAAAAATAAAAAAATCATTAAAAAATTTTTATTTTGGGAGATTTAATGCTTAATCAATATAAATATATATTAATTATGATCACCTATAGATTTAAAATAATGGAAGAACAAATGCTTCAAATAAATTTATTTAAAAAAGTTTTGAAAAATAAAAAGAATTTTTAAATAATTATTGAAATAAATTGTAAAAATATAATTAAATTTAAAAAAATTTTAATCAAAATTTATAAAATTATTCTATATTTTTTGTGAAAACTTTTACTTAAAAAATTTAAAAATAATGCTAAAATATATTTGGAAAAAATAAAAAAAAGTACAACAACTATGTACTAGTAACACCCACTAACTATGAAAATTCATCGATGCATATACTAATGTGCTTTTTGTTGTGAATTATTTATTTTTGGCATTTTAGAAAAGGATTGATTTACGGATAGTTTAATTTTAAGAGTTTTTTTGTTTTTTATTAATATATTTTGTAAAGTTCGTAATTTTTAAATATTATTGTGATTAACAGACTGTCAAAATTCCTGTTTACAGTAAATATTACATAAACTCAAAGTTTTTGAATGTCCGGACACAAGCTTATTAATACTTGATAAAATATTAAAATTTTATTGAGGTTTGTTTTGCTTTACAAAAAAGACATTTCAATTACATTAATTAAATGTTTTTATTCTTTTATCAAAATTTAATTTATTAAAAATATTTAAATTAAATATTAACTACATACCTTTCATCAAAATCCTGTCCTAATGGGCGGCTCATTGTTCGCTCGGCTGGAGCACGTCCATAAAGAGACATACTTCTAGACATGTTTTTAATGAAGAAATAATTAAATAATTTATGTAAATTTAATTAAGTTAATCTATAAAAATATTTTTTAAATGAATTTTCGAGGCAAAAATGAAAATGTTAATTCAGAAAATATTGTTAAAAACAAATTTAATATTATAATACTGTGAGAGAAAATTTTAATTTTATAAAAAATTATCTAGCAAAAATAGAAATTATACGAAATTTATTAAAATTAAAAATCATGATTTGAGGAGGGGTATATTTTTGTAATTCTTTTTACTGTAAAACAGAAAATCAAATCTTTTTAATTCCTATTAAATCAAACATAATTAATTTTCAACAAAAACTTGTTTAATATTAAAGATTAAAATTTTTATATATAAAATCTCAAAAATCATTTAAAATAAATATTTTAAGCAAATAATTAAAAAGAAAATCTACATACATAAGATAAATTTGTGGAAAAAAATATTTAATGAAACTAATAAAGTATTTATTTATATAAAATATTTATTAAAATAAATTTATTTTCTCTTTAATTCATGACTTTTAAGAATTAAATAAATTTTTAAAAATTATAGGAAATGTAGAAAATAATTTTGTTTAGGTCAGCACTGGGTTAGTTTATGTAAATTTCTCAGTAAAAAGAAAATTAATAAAAATATTTTTAGATTATAATTTTTTAAATAAATATGTATAAATATTTAGAAACATTAAATATTATTATTTATTTTTTCCTTATTTAATTATTTAAAAATAAATAAAATAATTTATTTAAGTACAAAAATAAAATTATTTTTTAATTTTTATTTATTATTAGAAAATTAATTAAATTTTGTTTAAGCAACATGCATAAATCAAATTTTTCTTAAAATATTTTAGCAAATAAAATGTAAAATAATTATTAAAAAATAATTAAAAAAATAATTTTATAAATTGAATGGCATTTTTAAATGAAATTGATACAGGAAAAGTGGTTATTAACGGTTGTTGGAGACAGAGGGAAAAATTTTTTCATTTTGTCTATGGCCAAGAAGATTTATTTTTCATTCTCTGCAGGGGAAACTGATACATTCATTGAGGAAAAAAAGAAGAAAAAAACATTCTCTCTTTCTTTTAATTTTTTAAAATTTTTATAAGAGGGATATTAAGGAATAAAGCAGAGAAAGAAGCAATTGGCACATTTTATATTTTTTTATTTGTTGTTAATGTTGATCTTAACAAATAATTTTAAAGGAAAAAAGAAAATCAAAAAATGTTTTTAAATGACAGAAAACAATTTTTTAATTTTAAAAATGAATTTTAAATTAATTTTTATATTTATAAATAATTTAATTAATTATTATCTTCAACCTTCAGAGAACGAAAAAAATATTTAATTAAGGCCTGTAAATTTCCAAAAATTCCCTGAAATTAAGAATTTATTTTTTTATGTCGACAGGATTGAGGAAATAATTGACAATTTAATACATTTCTAGTTAGGTTACTGTTTAAAATGGTATCTAATTATTTACACAAGTTTTTTTTAAAAAATAAAAAAAATATAGGAGTAGTATTTTATAAACGTAAAATTCCCAATTATTATTATCAAAATATTAACTGACAATTAAATGTTTTTTTTGTTAAAGTAAAATGCCATTAATTTCTGTTTATATTTGGATAAAGATGTCAGTCATTAAAAAGAAGATAAAAGTAAAAATTAAACAAAAAATGCGAAGAAATTGGGTAATTTCTAAGAAATTAAAAAAACTTTAACATAATCCCCATGGATACACTCTTACAGAAAATTTTGTACTTTAAATTGATACTTTATAAAAATATTTATTTAAAAGAATGACTTTGATTAGCTCGAATATAATGTAAAAATTTATTGGAAGTTTTAAAAATAATTTTTTAAAAAATAATTTCGAATCTAAATTTCTCAATAAATAAATCCCGAATGGACTTTTAACATTGGGCTTCTAATTTACTGTTGCCTTAACTCGCAAATCTAATTTTCACTCATCTCACTGATATGTTTGAAAAATAAACTCGTATAAAAATAACAAAAAAAAACACTTCAATTAAAAGTTAAACTTTCATTTTATAATTGTTTTATTCATTTTAAAAGATTTAAATATTTATAAATTATTATTTTTTATTAAAAAAGCAAAGCAAAAAATAAAAAAATCACAGAAATATTTAATAAATGATATTCCTTTTTTAATTAAAAATATTTAAATTAAAGGTGTCCATCCAACATAATTAGTTTCAGCAGAAAGTGTGTACATTTTCCTGTGTGGACTATTCGAGACAGAATCAATTGATCTTTCAGAATTATTTTGAGGAAATCTGCCAAGTAATACTTTAAATAAAGAAGTTGATAATCTTCTCTTTTGTTGCTGTTGATTCTCTTTGGGTGATTCAATTTTTAAGAGAGATTTTTTAGTTAGCTCAGAAACATCTGAAATAAATTATCTTAAATTATGAAGTAAAAATGTTTTGAGTCTGTATTTATTCAGGGGAGAGGAGGGAATGTTGATAATGAATATTGCATTGTTATGTAATCAAACGTTTCTCTCACTCATTTTCAATCAAAATTTTAATTTCTAGTTAATTTAGAGGTTTTAAAAAATATTCTAAAGAATATTTTACTCTTACAACCATTCAAAATATAAAATTTAACCGACCAACATTTTTATCTTCCATTTGCCCTTCAATATCCTTAACTGATTCTCTTCTTTTACTTGCAATAGAAAGAAGAAAATTTCTTCGTAATTGGGCTATTCCTCTATTTTTCTTAAAATTTATTTCATTTTCATTTAAATTTTTTGTCAATTTCTGATGAGGTAAATTAAAGGAAATTCGTTTTTCAGGCCTTTTTAAATTTTGATTAGTTTCAAGTGTTGCTCTCCTTCTTTCCTCTCTTAAAGAAAGAAAAGAAGCCCTTTTTTGGTCTGGAACATCCAAAAATTGATTATTATAGCTTTGTTGACTTTCATTACTGGCTCTTCTGGATTGATCAATTTTTGGCAATAAAAGTAGAGAACCAAATGGAGATAATTTTTCTTGATCAGGTGTTTCTAATGCAGAAGGAGAAGCCTCCAATTGGAGTAAATGAACGCCCACAGAAGCAGCTGCAGCAGTTATACCTGCTGAACAAGAAGCGGCAAGGGTAATTGGAGGAAGGCCAAGAATGCTACTTGGACAGATTGATAACTGGAATTAGTTGAAAATGTAATAAGAAGAAGAAAGTCATGAAAGCACTTGGAATTATTTAGACTGTTAAGTAAATAACAAAAGGAAATAACTAGGGAAGTATCAGGATTACTAAAATTTTATTAAATATTATTAACTCATCTAGGAAATGAGTCACAATGGGACTAACTAAGATAGGCAAGTTCTAGCTTTACATACAATCGTAGAATATTATTTAATAATAATATACCTTTTAGAATATTATTTCACAACAAAAATTCTTTTTACCTGTTCAGTTCTATTAGTGAATTCAGTTGTTCTACTCCTAGATAATCTCCTCCAACTAAGCCAACCATATTCATCATCTTGCATTTTTTTCTTCTTTTCTTTAATTTTTCTTCCCCTTCCACCTCCATTCCGACATTTCCATTTACAATAACTCCTTCCTTCATTATTTAAAATTTCCCCTTTTCCTCCATTATTAGAAACAATTGGCAAAATTGTGCTATTGCAACAACAACTTGGTTGTTCAGCAATTGAATAATGACTTTGAGAGAATTGTTGTTGTTTTTGTTTTCTTAGGAAAATAGCTTTGCAATATTCTTTTTCTTCTTCATTTCCATTTTCCCAATCATTTGCCAAAAATTTTTTGAAACATGGACATTTACTAAAATAAAAATAAAATATTTTTTTGGAATGGCTCCTTATTTCCTCTCACAATTTATTTAATTTTTTAATTATTTTTTCGAAAACTTTCTTCGAGAATCAGCCATTCGATTAATATATCTTTTTGATATTCTATCAGTTTCATAATTATTTTCTTCAATCATTTTATTTTCAGGCAAGGCTAAGGTGGTAGTAATACAATTATTTTGATTATTTTTAAGAAAATTTTTAGAATAAAAAGATTCTTGGCAAGTAGATATAGTCGAAAAAGATCGAAGTTTTAAAGGTTCTCTTTGACGCTTTAAATTTCTTTTTTTCATAAAAGATGAGGAGGAACACGTCGATTTTTCACTCATTGCGTGAACTAAAGAATGAGGGGAAGATTTTGTTTTTAAATTTTTTTGTTGTTTATTTCGAAGAAGAAAATATTTGTTGTCAATTAAATTTCCCAAAACTTCAGAAAATTCTCGTTCCTCAGCCAAACGTTGTTCTAATTTTCTGAGTGATTGTTGAACTACAATTGCCCCACCAGAACCATTTTTATTTTTTGAATTTTGTTTAATCCGAATAGATTGATTTAAAATAGGTTTAGGACGGTTTCTTTTGAGCATTGGCATTGGAAGAGAAGCGAGACAAAGTTCGGCCCTATAAAATTAAGAGGGAAATTGAAAATTTATTGAAAAGTTTTTTTTTTGATTTTTTTAAAAATTATTTAAAAAAAATTTTGATAGTCACAAAATTTAACTTAAAAGAAAAGTAAAAAATAAATTAAAAAGACGGAACTTTGTCTAATATTTCCTTTCTTTGTACCAATGCTCATCAGAAAATAAAATTCAAAAACACGAGAACACAATTTTTAAAGAAAATGTTAAAAAATAAAGGATTTAAATTATTAGAATATCACTGATAATTCGTAAATATATATTTAGTTAAAACAATGTTTAAATAAAGAAATTTCTAAATTGAAGGAAAAATTGAAGAAAAAAAAGAATATTTAACAACAACACAAATATTTTTAAAAATGTTAAAAGTCTAATAATTTAAAGACCACCAAAGCCTCGCCATCTTTATTTTTTAATTAAAAATTTTTTTAAAAATTACCTCAATATAAAATGCAAAACTGAAAAGAGTATTTGCAGGAAAACTGTTCGAAATTTCCTTGACATTCCAACATAAATTAAAAATCCAACAGCCGAATTTAAGAGAGAAAGAAGATCCATTAAATCACCCAAAGGCAAATACTAAATTAATTCTTTTTAAAAAATTTAAAAAATAATTAATTTAATTACCACACGTTTATGAAAAGACTCAGAAGAAAATATTCCATTCAAAACGTGTAAAAGACCTTGAGGTAATTCAGCCAAAAGAAAAATTGTTAAAATTGCAGCAAGCTATAAGAAGAAACAATTTTAAAATTAAAATTTTAATTTTTTCAAAATCCCCAGAAATAAAATCATATATTTCTCAATTTCAATATTTAGATAAAAGTTGTGAAAGATAATTTAATTTCCCAAAAGAAGTAAAAAACTCATTTATCTACTTAATTCAAAAATCCTTTCCCTCTCCTTCCTACCATTGGAGTTGTATGATCTTTTGGAACTTTTTTGCGCATAACTTGTGCCAGATTCTTTCTTTTATGTGCAACATCCGCAATAATTCTTAGTAAAGCAGCAATAGAAAATGTAAGTAAAATACAGGGAATTACTTTAAATAAAATTCCGTTTGTCCAAAAAGCTAACTTTAAAAATAAATTTTAATTTAACTTCAATTCACAATTTAAATAATTACTTTAAGATTCATACAATCACTTTCGTGTGGACGAACTGTATAAACTATTGGTTCATTATTAAAAATTGTGGGAGGTTGTGTCGTTTTAGTTAAATTATTATAATGGTCATTTCCAATTAAAGTTGGTAGTTCTCGTTGAAAACGTCTAAAAGTTATAAATATTAAAATTGGAGGTTAGAAATTAAAAGCAATTATATTTTTGAATAAATCCCCAACTATATTTTCCTTCAATAACTAGGAGGGATAACTAGATATTTAACAAGGAGACTAATAAAATAATATTAAAAAATAGAGTTATTATTAGATAGGTTCTTACTCCCCATAATATTTAAAGAGATTGTAGTAACGAGATTAGATGATAACTGCCATAATAATTTAAATTAATAGATTTTAAATTTAATTATTTTTTAAATTTCTATTTATTTTTACTTTAGTCTATGTCTTCTAATTTTATTTGTATTATTTATTGGTGAAGTAATATTTATAAATCCTTCAATGCCAGTATTATAATTTGAAGGCACAGTCGTTAAATAATTAGTAGAAGGTTGCCAACATGGAAGAATAACGCTTGCTTGTTCTTCCATTATCTTTTTTTATTTTATATTTAAATTTATTTTTTTTTATATTACAAATACCTCAAATGTCAAAAAATTTGGAATATTTACAATTGTCATTGTCTAAAAATAATTATTTAATTATTTTTTATTTTATTAAAAAACTAACAATGGTTGTGAGTAAAGCAATTAATGCAGTAAAGCGTTCTGTTATTAATGGAGTTGTTGGCCCTTTCGTGGCTCTAAAAATTTATTTTAAATATTTTATAAGTAAATTCTGAAAATTAGAGAGACTTTACAAAATAGAATATTCAAAATATTTAAAGATTTGTACCTTCTAATAGTTAAAACTCTTAGTTGAGCCATAACTACAAGCATCCAAATACTTGCAGCGTGAAAAATAACAGAAGCATGTGCATGAAACATCATAAAAACAGCCCAGCACCAACTAAATATTCAAAATTAAATTCAAATGTATTAAAATATTACCTAAAATCTGAAGGTTCACAACGATCTGCTGAAGCCAATAAAAAATGTAAAACAAAAATGAGGTAAGAGACTTCAACGAGTATATCGCAACAAGCCACTGCGCATAAAAGAACGTTGACTGGGGAACGCATAGATGGCCTGGTTAGCACCAAAACTGTCACTAAGTTCATTATAGTACCTGGGGAAAAATTTTGAATTAAATATTATGATTGATATTTTTATTCCTCCGTTATCTAACAAATGATTCAGGCATAATAAGTGAGAGGGGATTATCCATATAATGTCAAAATAAATTAAGGTTATAATATTCATTTAAATTAAATTTTTAATTAAATTACCGGCAATACAAAGGCCAACAGCCAGATAGGGATGAATCTGTCCATAATTCTGTTGAAAGGCAGCTACGGCGGTAAAGAGCCCCTCAAGGGGTGGCATTTCTAAAGTACCAATCTCACATGCACTTTTGCCGTTATTATTATTAGACGTCATTATTTTTAATTAGAATATGTATGTGTAAATATATTTTTAAATAAAGGCACAAAAAGCCTAGAATTAAAAAAATATCAGAATTTTATTTTTGGATTTTGAAAAATGGTTATTATAAGCCTCTCAAAAAGAGAACACCACTAGGGATAAATCAGATTGTAGTTAAATATCAGTTGAGAATTTTATATAATAAACTACACGTAATAAACTATAATAAACTTCCCTTTATGATGGAATATTTAAGGAAATCGAAATAAGACAAAGGCTATAACTGTGGGAGAGGAATAAGTGTCATAAAAAATTAAAAAAAGTTTCGAGAAAGTATTTCCTCTGATTAATTGTGAGAAGGGCACAACTATAATTTAAGAGGAAAAAAGGAAGCAAATTTGGCAAACGAGGAAGGATAAATTAAATTAATAAAAAAGGAATGATATAAAATAGCAACAACAAAAACAAGCAAATATACATACATATAAACACAATTTTTCTATTTAAATTCACCAAAAAAATATTTTTTTTTCAATTTTATTAAATTCCCTCACTCATGTTAAATTGCCAATTTTTTGGTCAACAATTTTGGTAGGTCACATTTTTTATTTTATAAAATGTTTACTGCGTTTTTAGCTTTAATTTTGTTCTTCCTATGGGAAATAAATAAATAAACGTTATCTTCTCTCTCTTTTAAAGCCTATAAAAAGGAAAGAAATCTAAAACGAATTTAATTTGTACTTAAAAAAAGTGCCTGCGCGTAGAAGGGCACAGCTGTTCCCTTTTTTAAAGTTAAATTGAAGTATAAGAACTAAGCCTCTTTTTTTTTATAAATTTACTGGCAGTTTTTTACAAGAGAAAAAGGGAAGGCAATCTAAACAAACTGCCAAAATTTAATTTTAAAAATATACAAAAAGAGAATGTTACTGGTCTCGCTTTCACGGATGGCTTATTGAGAGGATATAAAATAACCAGAAAAATATAAAAAAATATTTAGAGGAAGTTTATTTTAAATTTAAATTAGGAAATAATCTTTAGGCGAAACGAATTTTTTGGGGGTGAGAGGGAAAATTTATGTGAGGTGAAAGAGGTTTGGGGAAAGGGGGCTTGTTACGTTTAAAATCCCCTTTATGATGGAATATTAAGGGAACCGAAATGAGACGAAGAATACGTCTATGGGGGAGAGGAATAAGTGTAATGAAAAATTAAAAAGTTTCAAGGAAGTATTTTTACTTATTAGCAGTAAAGGGATTTAGAAGGGATATAGAGTAAATAAATCTAGAGTAAATAAAGATGTTAGAAGAACTAGAATTTTTGAAATTGAGATAAAAGTAAAAAGATTATAGAAACTAACCACGTTCCTTACATCCATAAATAGGAGAACTAACTAGATAACTTATAATTAGCTATCTTATATTTAAAATTAAGTGTTGGCTTTTTAAAAGTGATAATTAAAAAACTTCTTTTAAAAAACTTCCTTATCATTTCACTAAAAACTACCTACCCACGTATTTTTATAAAAATATTAATTTTCTAAATGGATATAACAAAAATTTATATTAATTTAATAAATGGATTTTCTAGAAAATCTTTCCAGAATTTACTTTTTCTTCCGCAACAGTGACTAAATATATTTATTATTAAAATAATAAAAGTCAGGAAATCATTAAATTTGTTCAGATTTGATATCATTATAAAGAACAGAAAAAATAAACATAAATCTAAATTAAACCCATCTAATATTTAAAGTTTAAAAAGAATAGAAGAAATAGTAAAATAAAAAATTAAATTAATTAGATTAATTACAATATATTTTCAATAATAATTTTTAAAAATTTTGCTTTTTGATATTTAAGAAGGCTTATTTGTTAGTAACTTGTAGTCACATATTATTATTATCTAACCTTCATTTCCGTAGCTAGGTCATTATTTTTGTTTATTTTCAAATTCGAGTATTTACGTAAATTAAAATATATATAAACATATTAAAGTACGTAGATTATATATATAAATATTTTTTTGTAAAAAATATTTTTTTAAATTAATTTTAAAATTTAAGAATAAGGCAAAAGAAAATTAAAAGAACATTTTTTATAATACATACATATAATGATGTAAATTAAAATGAAATCAGAAAAATGAGAAAAATTGAATTAAAATTTTAACCTTTGGTTTGATGTTAAAAATTATTTAGAAAACATAAAAATTTTGGTTATTATAATTATTACTTATATTTTTAAATAATTATATTTTACTTTTATTTAATTGCTTTTTTGACGCAATAATAATTCTAATTTTGGAATAAAACTAGGAAGTTTTTTTAAAAAGATCAATCCCAATATTATTTTTAAAATAACCATTTAAAGTAGAGTTGATCAAGACGAGACCGATACCGAGACCGATACCGAGACTCTCGGCTTTTTTCCAATATCGGTCTCGGATTTTTCTTTCTCGGTCTCGAAACCGATACCGATATTCTCGGTCCATTTCTCGGCGAGAAACGATACTGACTCAAAGAATCAAAATTCTCAATATTGTCCAAGTTTTCGTCCATAATTTTTTCGGATATCCGTCCATAACAGAGAAAGTGAATTTTTTTCGAATAAGGTCTTCTAAAATTCAAAAAATTTTCGCCTGCGCCGCTGAAAAAGGAAGAAATTTGGTGACTTGGCCTTCCAAAATTTAATAAATTTTCGTCTGAGGCGCTGAAATGTTGAATTTTCCGAGCTCTCGGCCGTTAGATTTTCAAGATTTTGATTACAGAGCCTTCCGATTTTCGGCATCTGTTGTTCCCACCAGTGGTTAAGTGGATTTAAAATTATCGGAAGCAAATTCTCAAATTCCAAATTTCTCAAATTTTTGTCTGCGGCGTTGAAATAGGAAAAATTCTGGCTTCTTGGCCTTCCAAAACTACAAATTTTCGCCTGCGTCGCTGAAAATTGGAAGAAATCTGTTGACTTGCACTTCTAAAATTCTAAAAAATTTTTGCCTGCAGCGCTGAAATAATGGTTTGTTTAACCGAAATTTTCACTTCGGCCATCCGCGGATACCCGCGGATGGATATGCCTCAAAAGTTGTAAGGATATAGTCGGATACGGATGTCGACCTCACGGATAAACCAATTCGGATACAAACACAAAAACTACTATCCATTGCCAAGCCAGATCGGATCCAGATGATTAAGAGTATTTATCTGATGATTTGATGATGAAAATAATGAATTAATAATTTTTACACGTATTTTTTGACATAAAATAAAAAATTTCTGTTAGTCTCGGTCAGTATCGTTTCTCGGTATCGGTCTCGGCTCAAAATGATGGTATCGGTCTCGATATCGGGTTCTTGAGTATCGGTCAATCTCGGTCTCGGGTTGGCCGATACCAGTATCGTTTTGATCAACTCTAATTTAAAGATTAAACTCCTTTCTAAGAATAATTGCCAGAATTTTCTTAATTTTTAATTTAAAAGTTTTATATATTAGTTAAATTATATTTATTATTTTACTTCGTCACATCCGAGGCTCATTCCCACACTCCTTTTAGCTTATTTGCGTGAATTAAAAGTGTATATACATTATTGGTCTCTTATTTTAGTACTTCCTCTTAAGTCTATTATTTTTTTATTCATTTATCATTTTTATTTAAATAATTGTCTGATAGTGGAATTTGTGAATAATTAAAATTTGAAGGAAATAAATAAAATTAAATTAATATAAAGATAAATTAAATTATTAATCTAAATAAACCAAATTTATTCCAAAAAATTTCCTGAGTTTTTTTAATGAATTAATTTTAAATTAAATATCTCTAAATAAAATAATTTTATGCAAAAAACTTTTGGAAATATATTTTAATTGTTTAGGGACTAAAAGAATATTTTAAAATAAATATTAAAACATAAAATTGCCTTTTCTACTTATTCTTATAATAATTATTTTACCTTTATATATTTAATTGCTCCTTTAACGCCTATTATTTTTTACTATAATAAGCTTTCTAATTTTAGAATAAAATTTAAAAATTTTTTCATTGTTTCGAAACAATTTTTAAAAATTTGAAAATTTGAAAGGGTTGAATCTAAAAATATAAATAAATATTATTAGTAAAAATTTTTGAGAGGGCGGAATCCTCGTAAATCAGATTTCTGCAGTGACTAGATTAATCTAGAAAATCCAGGAATCTCGTCAATTCCGAAAATTGCAAAAACGGAGATTTTAGGACGGGATTCCAAAGGATTCGGGTATATTTTTAAATAATACATGGAGGAGGGAAGTAATTATAGTGTACTATTTAGCTGATTCTAGTAATTATAATAATACCCTACCTGAGAATTGTCGCAGTTTGCGAATTTTCCCAATTAATCATATTTATTTTCCTTTCCGGTCGTTTATAAAAAATATTTTTTCCCAAACAATTCTCAAGATCAAAGAGATAAATCTTCCTTATATAAACTTTTCCTATAAACCCTTTTCTCAGTCGCTTTCTTATATTCAATTGCTTTTTCTGTGCTCATTTGTAGTAATTTAATTTTCTTTCCTTACAGCTTAGTAATCGCACTAGCTGATTTCTTTTACTCTTCGTTCCCTACAGCCTTGCATTGGCTGAACCTTTTCCTTATCTTTTAATTCTGCTTATTCAATAAGCTAATCTTTAACTTTCTCTATTAATTTAAATTGTTAATATTCTTTTTGGAAATA